AAACACGAATCAGGAGCCATTCACTTAAGAGCAGGATATAGTCATTTAATTGATGGAAAGGTCTCCGTTAGCCAAAACTCTGTCCAGGATTGCAGCAAAGATGCAAAGACAAGAATCCAATGTGATTCACCAGTAAGAACCACCAATGGGCTGGGACCAGCAGTTAGCGTAATGGCTATGTCGCTGGATTCCCATGTAGTCGACCGCGGTTTGAGTCCCAGACACGGTGGCTTAAACTCACGCCGGGTGCGTGTGCATGCGTGCCCAAGATCCTGAGAGGAGAATGGAGGAGAAGAGACTGCGGCATGGCCATCCCCCCTGGGGGGCTGATTTCTCACTTTCTGTCTCTCTGTCTGTCTCTCTGCACCCTACAGCAAAAACCTCTCCAAAGGAAAAAAAAAAAAAGAACCACCAATGGACAGAGCATCTCGCTAGAAGAACCTGGCAGCTCTTACCCTCAGGAACTGTTGCCCAGTAGAGGAGATGAAAATGCCTGTGTCCAGAGGGCAGAGTAACAGTGGAAGAGCTAGCCATCTGCTGGAACTTTGCCCAGTACAGTATTGTGAGAGGATAGTTGCTAAGTTCTTTTTTGTGAATGAGTCAGGGGAATCTGCCTCGAATATCCCATGCTAGTTTTTCTAACTTGATATAAAAATTGGAATGTGGTATGTGTTAGACCAACAAAGAAAATAATTATAATTCTGCCATTTCTTATGCAGTAGGGATAATACTTATTCCTTCACTTGGCATTGAGGTCCTACTGTGTGCTTGGTATTATTGGGGATACAGAAGAGAAATGTACTTTTTGGGTTTTCTCTTAGGTATCTATATATATACTTATTAATTTTATAAACAAAATATTATCTTAGTGGCAGTTAAACTGCTCTCTAGAGTTTTCCTTGCTATTTACTCTATAACAGGTCTTCCTAATGAAATCCTGGAAACGGTCTAAAACTGCCATCCACTAAGCACTTACTGTGGCACTCCCATGGGAGCGAGATCAGATAGTTTGGAAATGGCCAGGTACTTTGTAAGTTCTTTATATGAATGATTTAATTCTCACATCAACCCTATAAGGAAGAGAAAATTGAACCTCACGGAGGTTAAATAATGTGTGTCAGTTCACATCCAGTGTGAACTGGATGTGAACTGGATTCAAATCCAGGTTGTTATTCAACCAGTAAGTAATACTGCCTACGTACCAGGTATGGCGGCTAGAGGAGAAATATCACTGCCAGTTCCTTCCCCCTTCAAAATGATGATATATGGATGTCTCTGATTTCAAAGACCAGAATTAAAAAACCTTTTTTTCATTGCCAGGGGATATATGCCCTTGCCAGGGACAGACAGACAAGGAGAGAGAGAGAGAGAAAGCACCCCCTAATGGGGTGTTGCCACCACACAATCTTTTCTCTTCCATCCTTTTGGGACCTTGAGCAGTACACACACACACACACACACACACGCACACACTCACGCACACACACGTGTGTGCACCTGATGCGCTTACTAAGCCCCCTGGCTGAAACTCAAACTGCAGTCAGCTATGTGGTATCCAATTCCTCCAACTCCAGGCCACTTGGAAGCCCAAAGGCCACGATTTTGACATTGACACCGTATTACTTCTCTAGCTCTGTGCAAAGGGAAGTCACATGTTCAAAGGCAATTACTTGAAAAGAAAACTGGCACCCTGAAGGAGTCTAGCCTAGTGTCTTTGGTCTCTAACACTTCCCTTGTGCTTATGGAAATCGAATTCCTGTTGTACTCTCAGAAGACAGATCCTGTGCCCTTAAAAAGTATAAAGAACATCCTGGGGAACCAGCAGATGGCTGGTTATGTCCTTAAAGGTTACATCACTGGACACCCACGTAGTCAACTGTGGTGGTTCGAGTGCTAGACCCAGTGGTTTAAAACTCATGCTGGGCACATGTGTGTGCATGCCCACACTCCTGAGAGGAGAACAGGAAAGAAGGGACTGCAATGTGGCCAACCCCGCGGGGGGAGTGGTGGTGGTAATTTCTCGCTTTCTAGAGATTTCTCTTCCTGGTAAGCAAAAGTGCCCTGTAGCAAAAAATAGAAATAAAAATAAAAATAAAAATAAAAAAGCTCCCTTTTAAAAAAAGTAACATTCTGGAAGCAAAGGCTATGATAAAACACCCAGGTTCTACCTCCAAAGATATAATTTCCTACATTTACTAATTTTATTTCTTTGAATCTTAATTTCCCCATCTGGAAAACAGATAATTATTATTACATGGGCTTACAGGAAGAACTAATTGAGACAATGAGGCCAACACAACACGCGTTCAATAAAAGGTCACCGTTTTTATTAATGGTATTAAGCTTATGAAAACCTCGAGACCATTACGTTCCGAAGGCATGTTTGTCTAGGTGCTTCTGTGGAGGTCTGTACAGAGGTGTTGTCTTCCCTCAAAGGTGCACGAATGTACATGCGTGCGAGCTCAATAAATACAAGCTGAGTCAGTACACGAATGAGAGAACGACTGAGAGCACGGAGGTGCAGAAGGGGAGGCCATTCATTAAACGTAAGGTCGATATAACTCCCTCTGAAGTTAATGCTCCCTGAGCCTCTTTAAGTTTCCGTGAACTTAAACTGTAAAATGTGCATACGGACACTCCCGGCCTCACCGCGTAGTTCTGGATTCGGATTAGAAAACCTTCATAAAAGGCACATTCTCCACAAACGCGAGCTCAGGGCTCGCTATCGCGGCGGCCCACGCCCAGGCAGCGGCGGCGGGAGCCGAGCCTCCGCCCCGCCCCCTCTTCCTGGTTTTTCCCGGCAGCCCGCCCCTCCAGCGTCATGTGACAGGGGTGCACTGCCGGCCCAACCCCTGATTGGCGGGGCTGCAGAGCGCCTCGCGATTGGCCCCGGGCCGGCGGGCCCCCGCCTCCCTCCTCCTCCTCGCCGTGGCCCACGTGAGGGGGGCGAGTCACGCGATTTCCGGGAACCCGTCAGGAAGGACATAAACAAAACAAACCCGAGCAGCATGGAGAGGGGCCGCGGCCCCTGCAGCGGAACGGGACGCAGCCCCTGAGTCGGCCCCACGCTCACAGGTGAGCACCGCTGCCTGACGACTGGGGCCTGCACGCTCACGGGTGAGCACCGCGGCCTGCCGCCTGGGGCCTGCAGGGGCCCGGGCTGGAGAACGAGCCGGGCGAGTGGCGGAGGAGGGCGGCTGGCCTA